AGCATCCGAACCTTTGATAATATGGGGATAGGAACACTCACTCTCAGAACCACCCGCATGCAAGTCAGCAGTTCTTATCATCGGGATGGGCGAGCAAATTACAAATTTGTTATCCTATCATGCCTATGCATGAAGAGGAACCCGCCCACTCGCACTTGGGCGGTTACTAAAAAGATTCGGACTCGATAGTATCATACTTCATGCATTTAAGAAGCTTATCTACGGCAAAAACAATGATAAAAAGGAGAATATTTATGTAACATTGTAGCTTATGTTTTGCCTACTTGTACTGAGCTGCATGTTACGAAATAGACTAGGTTTGTGTTTTCCAGCGCCTGCTTTGGTGCCAAATTTTTCAGTTCAATTTTAACGACTAGACCAGTTCTTTTCTGTTCCACCCCTTACCTGGTCCACAACTAAACAGATTTAGCGGGAAAACCCGGTTTCAAGTTCGCCAAACTGACGTATGTTCTTTTGACGGATATAATACTTGAAATTAATTATAAGAAGATGGGAGTGGTAGCTTTCTAGTTCTGCTAAAAAGGATTATTTAATCGTATGGGAATAGAGTTGCAGAGATAAATACCGAAAGAGAAATTATATTTCAATTAGTTTGATTTACAGCATCGTAAGCACGTAGGATACACGCATCCAATTTAACGGGAGCAAAAGCTTCAACCTCAAAAAAACAATTTCACCTCTTCCAGTGAAAGAAATCGTATTCCATTTGAGAGGCATTAGGGGCACACCCTCTACCACACCTCCAACCACATCATCTCTCTCGCTACAGTACACCAGGCCCACATGAGATTTTATTAAATAAAATCTTATGTGGGCCCGGTGCACTGTAGCAAGAGAGATAGTGTGGTTGGAGGTGTGGTAGAGGGTGTGCCTCTTATCATTTCTAATTCCAATTAGGGGCACCCGCTGTGCACCACCTAGTTGGTTAGGCGGGGAAGTTATGACTAGTCAGACGGGGATCAAATCCCCCTTACCACGATGTATGAGGTCGAAATTAAAGAGGGACTCGTTCCTTCGACGTTTACTTGGTCTGCATTAGGTCTGTCTGCAGCGTCGAACTGGAACCGGGGTCTCGACAAGTTTGATCCAAGCGGGATTCGAACTCGATGCTCCTACCAAGAAAGAAACACCCCAGATAGGATGCTCCCACGATGCGAAAAAAAAAATAAAAAATAAAAAATAAAAAATCCACACATTTTCGGCCCCCAAATGGAGCAATATTGTCTGATTTATGGCATCAGGAAAAGAAGAAACTTGGTTCTTCTTCTCAAATGCCATCAATGTGATAAATACTTAGGGGCTGTTTGGTTGGCATTTTTTGCCCTTGTAAAGCTGCCAAAACTGACAAAAGCTGTCAGTTTTGACAGCTTTACTTGCAAAAACGCTCAAAAATGGACGTTTTTGCAAGTAAAGCTGCCAAAACTGACAGCTTTTGTCAGTTTTAGCAGCTTTACAAGGGCAAAAAATGCCAACCAAACAGCCCCTTAGAAACTTCACCACCTACAGTCTTTATCCCCGTCAACAGTAAAATGGAGATCGAGCCCACTGAAGAAAAAAGTCCACAGACGCTGCAGGAACTTATAGATAAAACACCAAATCAAACAAACCAAGCATCTGATAGTTGTCTATCAAAATATTGCACAACCGTCTGCGACTACTCAGCTACAATCAGACACCCATGATGTAATTAAAAAGAGACCCTAACATCTGGGTATCTGCAAAGGTAACCTTGAAATTAGTGATTATAGGGGTAAACCCAAAGAAGATGATGATGAAGAAGAACAAGGAGGGGAGAAAACAGACTTTCGGATCATCAGCGTAATTACAATTAGTAATCTCACGATTACCTACACAAACAGTCAGACCCTAGAATCACCTGTATAATTACACCATACTTCAAGGCATCTAGATGAAATTAATCCATTTTCATATGTGCTCATGCTTCCTTCATTCCGACATAAATGGTCAGAATGTACAGACCCATAACAAACTTCATGAATTTTGGTTCAGATAAAATTTTAAAAATATCATGAACTATCATAATTTTGCACAAAAGCACTATAAACTATTTTTATTAGAGAAAACATCACATACTGTCAGAAAATTATCTGAAAGAATATATAGCTGAAAGAAAACATGAAAAATATTCAGGAACCAGGACGAACCGAATCTGAATTTGCACGAATTGGCACTTCGAGGGTGATTAAGAAGTTCTTAACTTATCATGAACCAGCACCACCTATGGTAGCCAAAAAAGAAGGATTTGCAGCTGAGCCTCATAAAGATATAAGCCTCCCAGATTGGCTAAGTGAAGAGGACATCAATTACTTCACGAGCAAATTTGAGAAGTCCGGATTCACTGGGGGATTGAACTACTACAGAGCTCTGGACTTGTAAGTATTAGGAGTTCTATGTTAGTCTTTATACAGGGTTATTGGTGTTACGAATTATGCATATTTTCATATTAGTCCCTTAAAATAGTTTGTCTGGTTGTGTCAAAGCACTAATTCTGCAGAAGTATCTTATTATTTGGATCAAGAATGACATAAGAAAAATTTCTAGGTACAATGCTAATTAAAATCTTGGGATGTAGTTCTCCTTCAATAACCTAAGCGCATAAGAGAGTGAGATAAAAGAGAACATTGAGAACCAGTAAAGCAAAAATGAACATGAGTACTTGAAGACATGTTTAGTATATTTTTGCATTATTTACTTTGATAGCTATTCTCATCCTCTTCCCTTTCTAGCTATTAGTTATATCCTTTAACTTTTTAATGACGTTTCTGCATAATTGGAGGTTTGTGATATTTTAGGTTAATTTGATAAACCACCTGTGGCATCGCTATTTTGAACTTATTATCCCTCTAGGTTTATTTTTGTTGACAGATCCCCTACGTGAAAATTTGTTGACTCCTTCAGAAAGAGTAATTTGTTTTTTGATAGATAAACCACTTGAGGGTAAAAGAGTCAAAAAGATTTCACTTGATGGGTTGATCTGCTAAAACAGAACTACAAAGGTAGTAAGTTCAAAACAACAATGCTACAGGGAGACTACCTGAAACCAACCCTAATAATTTTTATTTAATAAAAACATTTCATGTTTTGTGGGAAACCCATAATATTCACAGTACTTCTCTAAATTTACTCTTTGCAATACTATTGTAGAAAACCTTTTTCCATGAGTCCAGGTTCTCGTACAGTCTTTATTGTAGAGAAGGCATACAATTGGTTACTTGGGTTAAGACAATTGGTTTATCCCAGTGGGCGACACAATTAAAAGATTGTTATATAATTTAGGTAAACAATATCATTCATGGGGTCCATTGACTTAGAAGATTTGATCCGTGAATTGTAGAGGTTCTCTACAACAACTAAGAATGTAGAGGATCTCTAGGCTTTTTGTATATGATAAACTTTATGCTTTGACTTGTGCTAATCTATTTGCAGGAACTGGGAGCTGAGTGCTCCATGGACTGGAGTGCAAATAAAAGTACCAGTCAAGTTTATCGTCGGAGATTTGGACCTAACTTATCAGGTGCCAGGAGTTCAGGACTACATACACAAGGGAGGTTTCAAGAGAGATGTTCCATTTCTTCAGGATGTGGTGGTTATAGAAGGAGCCGGTCATTTTGTAACCCAGGAGAAGCCACATGAGATCACTGATCACATCTTTGAGTTCATTAGCAAGTTCTAATCTAGGTTCATTCTTCCAGTTATTCAGTTAATTATTCACTTGAGCCTTGTCGAGTGTTTCTAATCTTTGATTATGGTGATTAATGTTCCTAAATGGAGCCATGCATCCTACGCCACAACTGATTATGACATTTTAGTTATCACCTACTATAGTCCTTTTTTCCCTTGCTCTTGTTTCAAAGATCTAAAAGTAAATTTCGGTGGAATAGTGTTAAATGCTTTCGTTCATCCACTATGACAATCATGTTTTAGTTAATGTTACAACATTTTGACCGTTATAATATATTGAATTTTACACATTAGTTAGGTATGACTCTGTTTATAGATTTGAGATGGACTTCATAACTAAATTATAGTTTTATAATATAAGTATTAGAATATTATTTAATTACCATACCAACGGAAAGTAATATACTTTTTGAGGTTTTACATTTGTGAACCTATATGAAATCATACCATACTCAATAGTGGCACTTATATTTGAGCAATCTAAGAACTTACGGAAGACTATAATCTCTCTTCTTCACTTTCCCATTTGACCAGTTGTCCAATTCCTCTAGAAAATACGCTTCTGAAGCGTCAATGTTAGGAAAAACTTAATTGATAAATTCAATTAATAACATCCTTCGGTCAGGATCCCACAAAAATTGTCCCATTTACGATGGCTTAAAAGAATTTCTCTCCCACAGTTATGTTTTCAATTTAGGACTAATCCATAAGAGTCAGTTTTATCGAATCATATTCTAAGCATCATAATGGAGTTCCCTTTCTCTTTACTACTGGATCCACACTAGCAAGGAAATAGTGTCTAATTTGAAAAAGAAGGATATATCAAGAGCGTAACACCCATGAAATGAAGAGTAAAACAGAAGTGTAATTTGATAGTCCTAGTTTGTTTTCAATCATGGATGCTTATGACATTTACCAAACATATCACTTAAAGATTAGTCGAGAGAATGTTATGTGAAGGATGAATATCCAAATGTGATGTCATGAGGGGTTACTATTTTACATCTAACATTATGAGAAACTTGTACATAAATAACAGATTTATTAGGAGCTTGTCCTCTAATTCCTTCTTTTCCCCTTAATTCCTCAAGACATAACGATAATCCAACAAACTTCCCTCAACTTTGTGCTTTGTCCTTACACAGTCCCCTCAATATCACCTAATTGCTTATTTGCTAATAACAATGAAACTCCATATCCCTTCATAAGGTCGTATGGATCAACTCTTCAGAAAATATTCACCGAGTTTGCTATAGAGTGGTTTTATTGGGAAGCAATTTAACAACTCTAGGAGCTGGTTAAGATTTCATAACTTTAGAAGGTACATGTTACTAACAAGTTTGCAGTCAGTAAAGTGTACACAGATTCGGTTTTAACTGGAATTTGCAGGCATATTAACTTGCTACAGATATCTATTACAAACTTACTTTTCTGAGGAAGTTAGAACTTGCGGATGAAGTCGTATATGTGATCAGAGATCTCATTTGGTCTTTCCTGGTTGATGAAGTGACCTACTCCTTTCATCACAACTACATCCTGTAGGAATGGAACATCTCTTTTGAAGCCACCTTTGTGTATGTAATCTTTGACATTCCCGGTGTTGTAAGTGAGGTCCAGATCCCCAACTATGAACTTGACTGGTACTTGTATCTTGACCCCAGTCCACGGTGCTGTGAGCTCCCAGTTCCTGCAAAGTTCAACAAGGCTCATATTGAGTTCCATCTTCCAAGTAGTAAAATCATTTAACCCAAAATATTAAGCTTAAGTAGAGAGTCATTCATGTGGGATTCTGTGAGCTACATGGAAGTAGAACACTGTGGCAAATAAATATGTTTTAATTTGATAATGATGATGTTTGATATCAGAACCTCTTGAGAACCACTTATCCAAAAGCTTAATCCGATTTGTTGTGGTGGTTACCAATGTCCATCCAAATAGCAGTTCACACTTTGAATCACTTTTGCATAATAAAATCCCTAATAATTCAGTGTCATCACATCTTTCATGGAAACCAATAAGGACAAATTCTTTATTCCCAGATACAGAAACTCAGTAGTATTCTAACCATTGATTCCTTTTGGTGCAGCTCTTTGTGATAATCCGTGCACTGGTCAATTAAAATGCTCTGTGATTAGCAGCCTTTGAATTAAAATTTAAGTGCCAATAGTACAGTGCAGAGTAAGCTCACAAGGTAATTGACAGAGATGATTTGATTTACTCTCTTCAAAGTTCAAACAGAACCAATAAAAGGCGACTTTTTAAATATGCAACAAGAAAGGAAACCATTAGGATTAACTGCTTCAAAGCTCAATAACAAGAAACTAAATAATTTACAAATTTTCAGTCCAATTGAAAGTTCCATCACATCCAATAACCTTCGTAATGTTTCCGACATGTACTCGCTAAAAGAATTAATTAATGCTGCGTCAATTTAGAAAAAAAAGTTGCACACAACAAAATCTCTGGCTAAGGTCTATCCACAACAACAAAAAAAAATAAAAAAAGATCTCTGGCTAAATTCATAATCATTTTCTGATTAAGGTAAACTCTTCTAAGTTCTAATTAGTGATATTTACCCTTATGCCTGATTAAAATGTTCAACCAACTTCAGTATGAATTTGACATGCTAGTAGTGCAGTTAAAGGCTGTCCTAACTTTAACTCGTCAGTGTCCAAAAAACAAACCAACAACAGCTGACTTGGCTTCAAACACGTGATAACAATAAGTAACATTAGGATTACCAGCTTTATCTCAATAATCATGGTCTGGAAGCAATTTCCCTAGGAAGTAAATTAAGGACTTTAAGGAATAGTGAAACTAATTGACTAAAATGATTGGGAGGAACCGGAAAAGGAGGAAAAGTATATGAATTAAATATAGAATAACAGAATAAAAGAAGCCAGCAAAAGACTAACAACTATCAACTAATATTTTAGAAATATTACATGAGTCGTTTACTGATGAGAGATGAATAAAAAATTCTATGGGAAGATTTCGAGTGCTCCAACACCCACCAGTTGGGAGGTCTAAGATCCCAACAGCCAGGATATTAATAAATTGGTGGAACTTTGCAGTTGAACCCCATGAAAAGTGTTCTGCATGATTTGTACTCTCTAATGACAATCCATGAATGACTATATTCATATTCATAGTTAGTTTACGACAGTGATTTTGTTGAATTCAACAAAATTAACTGTTATATTAACGAACCGTGTTTTGGGGAATGATTATGAGAAGTATCTAGAAAACTAGTAATCTAGGACTTTCCCACAAATTTGGAGAAAGGATCACACTGTGGAACCATGAAATAAATAACTAGAGATAAAAAATAACAATTTAATCCAGGAAACTGGATGCTCTTTATATGCATAAATTGGGTATATTTCATGTCTAACATAGAATTTCTAAAGAAAATCAAGAAGAAAGAAGATACCGGTTCATATTACGATAGTAATTTAATCCTCCGGTGAAACCTGATTTATCAAATTTGCTGACAAAATAATGGATGTCTTCTTCAGTTAGCCAAGGGGGCAACTCTTCAACAGGTGATTCTCTGAATCCTTTTATCTTTGATCCTGTAAGAGGAGCTGGTTCACGATACGTTAAGATGGAATTCACTAACAACTTAATATCCATCCGAGCAAACTCAGCTTCTACCTGCCCAGGTTCCTGTAACAGATTAATTCATAATCCAGTGAGATAGGTCAAAAGAGAAAACACAAGAACCGACTGTAGAACTTCATCATGATAGAATAATTTAAATGTTACAAACTAGGAGTTTTGAGGTATTGATCCCTCAAAACTTAAGTTAGGTTCCGAAACTCATTATTACGAGAATAATCCTCCAAATCTCATTAATTACACCAAATAGATCCCTCTAATTTAAATATGTTAACCCAAAAACTCACTAACGGATGTTACTTTCCCACAAATTCCTGTTATGTCCTTCCACAACCCCTCCTAACAATTATATTGTGATGTCTCTCCCCAAAACCCATTAAAACCACACTTTTCGTTCACACAACTCATTCTTCTCTCTAAATTCTCTGACTCTAAGCATTTTCTTCAGATTAGTTGTGTTCTTAAACATGTCAGTAATTTGAAGTTATAATGTCCCCTTAACTCCGGTTGGTAACACATTAATAGGTATTAAGGGTCAGATTGGTACTGTTGGAGCTTATAATAAGCTATTTATATAAGTAGCTTATAAAAACAAATTATGTAAGCTACTGAAAATAGTCGTTTAGTAATCATATATCAAAAATTTGAAGGTGTTTGGCTAAACTGTGCTTGAAGATCAATGTCAAAAGACAAAGGTCATATATGTTATATAAACTGAAAAAATACAGATGTTGCTTTTAAAAGCATTCTGATGTTGCTTCTAAAAGCACCTCCTTAAAAGCAGAAGCAATTTCAATAAGTATGCAAAAGAAAACTTTATCAAACATCATTCTTAACTGATTCTCAATAAATAAGCAGAAGCATTAAAAAAGGCAATATCAAACTGGCCCCAACTCCAACCAAGTCAAAATGCAATGGAAATACCTCATGTGTCCTGATATGGTGCAACTAATAAGCGTTTGGGGGTCTTTCTTATAATAAAGAGTTCTTATAATAAAGAGTTGACCTATTTTTGGTTTATCTTTGATTTTAAACCCAAATTTTTATTAGGTTTTATTTTTGAACCCACCCACTTCCAAGTTCGCTATTAAATCATCGAATATATTTATTTTTAAACGTAGGAACCTATACCAAAGGTATTAATAAGATTTAGCTTCTCTCCAATTAGATGTTAATTAGATAGGGTCCAATTACTCTAATCCTTATCGTTTATCTCAAATTCAAACGACAAAATAATACAATATAGGATTACCATAATTAAACTAGTGCTTCTTAACAACACCATGCTGGATTTGGTAGACATTATTTAATTTATGATAAAATCAAATGTTTCTAAAAACTTAAAAATCCCCTTTATCCCTCTAATTAGATGATGCTCTCTTCAATTAGCTAGTAAACATACGCGCCAAAATTATTTTCAGCATCAATATTTCCTTCAACCCTTTGATTTTTCTCCGACATTGGCTTTTTCTTCAACCCTAGGCCTACTATTTCTTCTCTCTAATTCTTCCCCAGCAACAATGAGATTTGTAGTTATGAGCTCTCGGTTATTTTCAGCCTTCATAAATTTTCATTGGTGTGGGCATTTCCATGTTGCTTCATACAACATGCTTTTAGGAGATGATTTGTTTGAAGATAATAAGTAGTTACAAACTAGAGGTAAATGTATATACCAATTTAGGGGGCAATTGGACCCTCTGAAAATTTTCACATTGGCATTTAAAGCCTTCAATTGCTTACAATCTGCCCCTATAAATTTTAACAATTTACACTCTAACCTTTATATAACCACAAAAGAAATTAGTAGTCTTTTGCATTACTCCATTTAAATCTCAAACAACCTGGACAAATGGCCGAAACACTAAGTAGCACAATCATAATCTTCATATTTTAGAAACATGTCATATGATGCGTTTACACGATAGATACCGGAGACAATTCATTTGGCAGATTATTCTGTAATAGATCTCAAGCTACTCATGGATGTATGACTAAGCAAAATGGTGGAAAAGAAAGTGTTGATTATACTCATTTGACTTTGAAGAGCTATCTTCAAAGTAAAAGGATAAATGTGTAATTTGATAGATCACGAGGCAACAAACTTATTAATGTACTTCCGATGACAAAGAGCACATGATCCATCATTTTATTAAGATATCCAGTTAGATTAAAATATTCAGTTAGATGAAGTAGAGCAGATAAAAAATATATTTTGAGCCGACTCTAAAATATTATTAACAATTCTTTTTTTCAGTGAAGTGATTATGTTTGATGCAATATACAACACCAATAAAGAGTATATACCTTTTGGTGTATTTGTAGGATCAACCACTAGAGGAGCACAATTATTTTTGGTGCAACATTAAAATCTTATGGATTGTTGAATCTTTCAAGTGACTTTTTAAAACAGTCTTGGAGGCTCATAAGAAATAGATGCTCAAACTATCTTCACTGACCAAGATCGTGTCATGCTAAAAGCATTATCTAAGGTAATGCCAGAAATTGATCATGCTTAGTGTGATCGACATATAATGCTAAACAGTTCGAAGCATTTAAGAAAATTAATGCAAAATTGCTCTAGCTATCTTACATAATTCAGTACATGCATGTACAAGTATGTAGAAAAAAGATCAATTTGAAGGTGCTTGGAGAAACATGTTTGCCTAATACAATGTTGTTAGATAATATATAGCGAAATGGCATACATGAGCTGAAGGAGAAATGGGCAAAAGCATATATGAATATGCATTTTAAGTTTTTAACATAGGGATGAGTATTACACAGCTTAGTGAAAGCTTGAACAAAGACCTGAAAAGTTAATAGAGCATTAACTTTGATGTAGTATGATTTTTCAAGCACTTTGAAAGAGCAGTGGCTGACAAGAGCAACCATGTGATTAAGATAAAATATGAGTCCAGATAAAAGCTTTCCAAATTAAATAACAAAAGCTCACTGATTTAAATCAGGCATATTGCATCTATGCGTAATTCATATTTGAAGAATTTCAAAACGAATAGAAAATTTGTCACTCACAGCATTTTTGAAGTATCACAATGAAAATGAACAAGATTATTATTCTACAGTGAAATATATTTTATTATAAAAAATATGTTTTATATTTGTGGTCCTTTGTTTAGTACCGAGGTATTCAATCAATTTCTAGGCACTTTTAACCTTTTATCTTGAATAGATTTTCTGTCTTACTGAGGAAATTTTTTTAATAGTTTTTGAGTTCTATTAGACAGACTATTATCTGTCATGTTATTTTTCATGTTAATTGATATAGGGTCAAGGGTGGGCAGTGTACCGGGTTCGGCCCATAGGCCCGCCTGTTCAACCCGCACTTGGGCCCAACCTGAAACTGCAGGAAGCAGGGTATGCTGCCCCGCAGCTACATGCGGGCTAGGAGGTCACTAGGCCGCACAAAGCCCAACGAGCGGACTAGCTTGCATATGACGGGGTTTTTTTTTTTTTTTGGGAATAAGTTATGTGTATTCACGGGAGCTCAATCAAAATTTAAATGGAGCCTTAAAGCCTCAATTATTGAGGCTACCTCATAGCCGAGGGAGTTCCCAAGAGGGGATCACCCCCTCAAAAGCCACATTTGAGGAGAGAGCTTTCCTCATAATAAGCTACAAATGTGGCTCTTAAGGGGGAAATTCCCTCTTGGGAACTCCCCTAACAGGAGTATTTGACTATAAAAAAAAATTTCCCCTGTTCCCTATCATTCTCACTTCTATGTCCACTGGAATTGTTAGACTATTTTAAATCGCCCGACGGCCTCGCAACTTCAATTTTCCTCCTCCGTTTCCCTATAAGTACCCCCTCAATCTTTCATCTTCTTGCACAGCTAGCTCTAGCTGCAACAAATATTTTATTTCTCTCATAATCTCATATAAACACAATCTTCTAATTATGCTCTTATACTCATTTACTGACTCATAATCTTCCAAATGGATCCCTATAGCTACGTCTTATCCTCATGACAATACTTTCTACATTCTCCTTTTTCCGTCGGTCACTCTACTTCTAGTGTTAGTGGTAGCGGTCACTCACCTTATTACTCACACAGTTCTATTCTTCTAATGTAGGCAATCACTCTACTTTTGGTTTCAGCTAGTTAATTACATATAATTTATAAATGTTAACCAATGCGTAAAAACTGTTTACAAAATAAAAAAAGAAAATTAAAAAATTGGGTCAGGCGAACCGGTTCGTGTCATAGCTCGCCCTTCATGTTCGCAGATTTTTGAGTGGACTGGGCTGAGTCTAGGCCAAGGAACAAGTAGCCAAACACAGCTCACTTGTCCCGTTGCGGGAAGAGGGCTAGCTTGTCCCGCCACAAGACCTGCACAAGTTGGCTCGCGAAACGAGTCATCTCATCCCGTTGCACACCCTTAATTAGGATGGAATTATCCTCATTATAGTATCAATTAGAAAAGAATTCTTCTTACAAATCTTTTTCATATCAAGAATACTAACAATTTTTGTTCTAATATATATCAATAATTTTTTTTTCATTTGTACATGTAGTTGCAGTTTATGTATTTAAACCTTTGTTGAGCAATGACTCTTAATTTACTATCAAATTCTTTTATATCAAGAAAGCAAAAAAAATCCAAAATCGCCTATTTTTTCAATAATATATGTAGTTTATGTATTTGAAACTTGCTTCATAAACTCCTCCTAATTTATTGTTTATGTATGGTTTAACTTGATTAACTAATTGATTGTTTGAATTGATTTTTACGAAACCATATGTATGTGGTTGTAGTTTGTTTTATGAAAGTGGAGAGTTTAAAGTTAATAGTCATCATTGTAAACAAGTGATTGCATGTAATTGCAAGAAGTACGAGACATATGGAATTCTATATTGTCATGCTTTAAATGTTCTTGATCTGATTTCAAAAAGATGGACCAGAAAAGCAAGACATATGGTTATTACATGCAATAGCGGGCATAAAAGTACACGAAGATGCCAAGTTGGATGCTACTGGACATCATCAATATCTTCTTTCTAAATTAAGTTTGATTAGTTGCACGAACTGCAGATGATGAAGAAGCATTTGGTTAAGTGACCAAGGTGACAAATGACTTGAGTGTGCAAGTGGAAGATATTTGAAGTGAAATATCTATGGTTAGAATAAAGTCAAACATAGATCAAATGCCTGAAGTTGAATCGTTAGCTGAAAATGTGAAGGGGTTGAAAAAGAAAATAGAAAGAAAATGTTCAAAAGAGCCTAGAAGTTGGGTTGAGACCTTACTAAAGAAGAGATCCAAGAGAATAAAAAGGTCAACTGACAAAAACTCTAAAGTCAATGCATTTAAAAGTAATTTCATATTTGATCTTAACCGGTCAAATTCAAGTTTGTAAAGCTTTACACTGTATATGTATTTATTTGTTTTATTTATTTAAATGATACATATATCATGCGGTATAAAAGTCAAGTTGCTATCAATCAATGTTTTAAAAAGCCTTAACCTAGCCTGCCTAGGTGGCGGCCTAGGACTAGACGGTACCTAGGTTGCCTGCTTAGCGCCTAACGCCTAGGTAGTTTTTAGATTGCCACATGGATTTCAAAAGCGCCTAGGGAAGCATGGGCTTCTTACGTGGTTTGTACTCTTTAGACCTTGATCGTAATTTCCTCCATTGCAGCCTCTACGTCCTCCAACCTCCTCCAAACTCCTCTAACTTTCAACTATGAACACCTCTACTCCGACATTCAATAAAACCTCCTTCTCCACCACTTAACGAAGAAAGAAATCTACCTAAGCATCAGCCCAACATCCAAGCTTTCTATAATATTGGCATTTACTATCAATTATTTTAATTAAGAAATAAAAAATAGGAAAACAACCTAGACCCCCGCCTTGGCTCCCTCCTAGGTGCGTAGGAGGTAGGAATCGGGTCAAACACTAGACCGCCTAGCGTTTTCTGTAACATTGCTATCATTGTAATTAATTGTTTTGTTCAACATAATACTCATCATGCAAATCAAGTAACTATACATATAATTATAAAGTAATCACTATTGTCTTTAAGAAACATCATTATTCTTAAACTAATTTGATTTTCTACATCACTTGTACAGAATTTTGAATACAAATTAGTAGATTAAAGATCCGTGATGACTCCTTAATCCTAGAAAGCCAATCTAGTTTTGCTAACTTCTTAATGGCAATTTCAAACTACAATTTAAAATTCTCATTTTTAATATAGATTATCAATTTGGATTAAAAATTTATCTTATGAAATGCTTTTACAAGGTCACTTTGATAATGACATATTTCAAATCTCGCATTCGCCTACCATTGCAAAGTTTCCCAAATGAGTTCTTCATGATTATTTTTGTTGCAATTCATGCTTGATTTCTACTTCTAATATGAGAAGTTCAAGATTATTCCTTTCTTTTGTAATACATTATTATAAGTATTTTCGATTCACAAGTGAATTAATATTATTGAAACTTAGGACATGAATAGGTTGCATATATTGTAACTAAACTGGAGAATAGGACTTTCAAAACCTATATGTTGATCATTATTCTCTCATTTGATATCGTCATTTTTTGCCAAAATTTTTCCTCGTGATGGGCTGTGTCAAGTTGCCAAGAGACAATATAAATAGTGTTGCAAGCATGACAAAGATTTGCTTTTGCTACTCTCTTAATATTATATGAGTAGTATGTTTAGATTGCTAATGCTTTCCAGTGTAGAGATGATTGAGTGTTAAGTGATTTAAAATATTATAAAGCTATATAAATTGTTTTATGCTTGAGCTGGATGACGAACACATTATGTTACTTTCATCAATAGCAATATATATTCTATTGACCTACTTCTTTGAGACAGGATTTAATTATACATCAGGTTCAACAAGATAATATTCCCAAGTGTCTTCATGACTGACCATAAGATAATTATATGCATTGCTTGTTCTCACAATAATAGGATTTAAATTGTAGGTTTTCCTGGAACATGCTCAATGTTAGATCTTTTGCATGATCACATGACAGAAGATTATTGGCTACTGCTAGTTTAGACGACACAACTACTATACAGGAGCATGTAGGCGGTGATAATGATTGCTCTCTACATTGGAGGTATAAATTTGAGCCATTCGTTTTTGCAGTTCTGATACCATAATCAACTTGCTATTAGTTCTGTTTGATCTAACAATGGTCGCAACTAAACAACTTATAAAAACATATATGTTTCCTTTGATAAGGTCATGAAAACTAAAGGCTTTAGAAATTAAATTCGAAATGGAAGAGGAAGTTGTTTATCTGACAACTAACTGGAGAGTTATTTTCTACTTTTTTAATTTTAAGTAATATCCACCAAATCCACCATGGTATTTTTAAAAAGCACTAGTTTAATTGTGATAGTCCTAGACAGCATTATCTTGCCCTTTGAATTTGAGACAAACTGTGAGGATGAGAGTGATTGGACCTTCTCCAATTTACTCACTGGACAGGATCTAATGCAGATTAACACAATGTATACCATCTAAAAACTTCAAATGCCCAACTTATTCTCCGTCCCCTTCATTCTTTTCACCCACTGCCCTCCAATCCACCCATTCACCCTGTCCCCTCTTCTGCCTCACCCACCAAGCTTCCCCCATATTTCCTCCTCAAATGCCAATCACGCTCCACAGCTAACCTCAATCCATAACAACTATATCACTTTGTCGGTCAATTAACTTATAAAAATTTAACCCACACGCTGGTAAAATCTTTAAAGTTTCACTATTTAAGAGAAAAAAAATAGAAATAATTTGCAAAGCAAGCCATACCTGAAACATACAAATGTAGTGATCATCACCAAGAAGAGCCCTAATCGAATCAACGGGCTTCCACTTTGGATGCCGAGGACTAAACACCACGCTCATGTTCACCAGTGCCTTCACCCTGTCCGGCCTCAACATGCACAGATTCCACGCCACTGTCGCTCCCCAATCATGGCCCACAACAAACACCTACAGCATAAATAAATAAATAAAAATCACTTTTTTATCAAATTAAGCAATAAGTCCTCCAAAGCCGCAATATTCGCCGACTAACTCCAAGTTAGACGCAATTTACTCCTCAATTCTACCACATTGATTTAAAATGTCCCGAAAAGTAAGAAAATAAATATATTTCTAGAATATTCCTAAGTTTTTTATTAGTTGTTTGACTAAAATTTTCCCCCTCCACAGTAGAAATACAAGCGAGCTTGGCCTATTGTTAATTTAATGGGTAGAATTGAAAGTAAATTAGCAAATACCTAAAACTGACAATAAACTTGCAAATATGATATGACCATCAACTAACTCTAGAGAACTCAGCAGGATGATCAGATTTGATCAAAATCAGTACCTTATCTTGGCCCAGGGAGTCGATTAGGGCAACGAGATCGCCGACGATATGAAGGATGGAATAAGATCGAGGATGCAGCGAGGGGCGTCGGAGGTCGCCGTAGCCTCGGAGGTCGGGGGCGACGGCGCGAAAACCGAGGGAAGATAGGGAGAGGATCTGGTGGCGCCAAGAGTACCAGAGCTCAGGGAAGCCGTGGATTAGGAGGACCACCGGCCCCTCCCCTTTCTCCGCCACGTGGAGGTTGACGCCGTTGACTGCTACTCTTCGGTGAGTGATTGTTTCCATTGATGGGGTTCAGGGTTTCTATTTTGGGTTGGGTGGGGTTGGGGCGGGGTTTGGTCTCGAGAGTGGGAGGGGATTGATTTGTTTGGCCAGGCGTCCGTTTGGGCTTCGACCCAGACCCGGCCAGTTGTCCTGACTGGACCCGCTTGGGCTCGGATCAGGCCCGGGCCCAGGCTCAAAAATAGCCCGGACAAACCAGATTGACTAGGCTCTGGGCCTGGGTTCGAATTATATTGGTGAAGCTCAATTTGGGCTTAGCCCGACTCCGTCCGATTATTAAATTTATATATATTATTTATACATGATTATATTATGATGTGGTCATTAATGTATACTTATATATACTAGTTGAGATGCACGTGCAATGCATGTGGTTAAATATCATGATTATTTAAATTGATAAAAATAGAATAAAATTTTATTTTTTTTTGGGATTGATTATCAACTCAATAATCTCTCTCTCAAATAAAATATTGTCATTGTTTCCTTCAACCTAGAGTATGACCACGTGATCTATTATTTGTGAGTTATAAACACGTTGATCTAGTATAACATCTATGTTTGTTAGTGTCTTGAAGTCTTCAAAAGATGAATGATCATTCAATTCTCAAAGGAATTTTGCATATGAATTTACTTACAATATGTCCATTAAACTTTTAGTTGTAACTTGACTCATATTCATATTAACTTTTAATTGTGGTTTCACTCATATTTACATTATCTAATATTCTCATTCAATTTTATAGCTCATTCTCTGAACCATAGAAGTAAAACTAAAAGTACGAAGAATTCTTTTCTTGCGAAACTAATGCGATGAGATTATGATATATTTTGTCATGTGCTCTAAATATAATTTTTTTGATGCAAGGTCTCTATCAAATATTGTCCCAAACGATGTGAATAAAAAAATATCATTATAACTCACTTGCCTAGGACAATTGTATTGTATATAGGACATATAACTAATCTAGAATATCTACATATGCTAACTGGATTTTGCTGTTGTGAGAGCAAAATGTTAGAGGCTTGTATTCAAATTTTTTAGCTCCGTAGAAAGGACAATAATTTGGAGTACATAGCTTATATATCGTAAGAACATACTGGTTCATGAAGATTTTTTCCTAAATAATGATATTATTACACGATGCTACTATTCAGTATTAAATTAATATTATTATATAAGATTATATGACCCTTTTTAATAAATTATATATATAGTAGTTGGTCTCCACAAAATAGATTAACTTTACATTATAGTTGTAGTTTGCTATTGATAGCACTGTTGGCAATGTCATTATATTTCCTTTTTATCCTAATATTCACTCTTTTCTAATGTAAGTCCTCTTTTGCTAATCACTCGATTGGTTATATTTAGTTTTTATAATATCAAAGGTTAGAATATTCTCTCCTGTTGAAAAAATGTTGACATGGTTTTCTTAAAAAAAAATATACACATAGTAGCAATAGTATATACTTCAGTTCAACTCAAAACATTGATTTGAAGCCATTTAGAGTGAGGTCCTTTCTATGCTAGAATGGTGATATAGTGATTACACAATCCAAAAGTCAAATAAGAAATTTCTACAAAGAAAAATAATTTAATACGTTAAATTAATAACTAATTTATAAAATATACATGGGCAGTGCAGATAGCTATAGAAAGTAAGATATATATCTTCATGAAAATTACATAGTGAGTGACCAACTGCAATCATCATAATTTAAGAATAATAATTATTATTTTTGTTACTAATTTGATACGCATAACTATAGAATAAATCTCGAGCAAAAAATAAGAATTGAGATTGTATTATCCTATAGGTAAATAAATAAATGTTATTAAATCTCCTCTTTATATTAACTTTAAAAATAATAATTTAAATTATTAAGCGCCTAATATTATTTCATGCGAGAAAGTAAAGTAATATATGATTTATATACCTATATAATCAATAAATCAAACGTATTAAAATTATGATGATCGCAGTCAAAATTATATGATGGGTTCACATTAATTATAATTTATAAAAAATAGTACATTAAAGCCAAAATCCTTTTAACCACTATATAGACTATTTGAAATTTTTTGCATATATAAACTATACTGTCTAGGAATAGTGATGTGTGACCTAATACATCTTAAGAACGGCTTACTCTTCAATATCATCGTTAATTGACGTATCTATGTATTACATTAAAAATACAATTAAAATTAGAAAACTACAAAAAACACCCTCAACGGTTTTCAAAATTATAAAAAAACACCCTAAAATTTTGTAATTTACAAATACACAAAACTATTAAACATTACACAAAATCGAGGAATTACAAAAAATTATTGAAAATTTTTAAACTTTGGAGGGATAATTTGTAATGTACTAAACTTTGTTGTTTTTTATAAATTTTAAATTTAATAAATTTTTAATTAGTTATGTGTTCTCCAAAAAAGTTATGGGTAATATTGACCATGAAAAGTTTATTCTAAATCTATATTTTAAAAGGGAGTATGATAATTTTTTACAAATTTTAAATTTTTTAGAGGTTGTTCGTAATTTTGCATATTCATTTTAGTATCTATTGTTCGCGGGGAAAATCGTTTTCTTCATTGATGTCATTGTGATCTCAAAATAACAACTTTTTGTGGTTACAAAAGATCCGGTCTTTTTTAGATCCGGTTACAACGAAATCAAAGAAAAATAAAAAAAATTACAACTTTCTCCTTGTGAACAGATCGCGAGCTCCTGTTTTGCGGTCACTCGCTTTTGTGGGTTCTTTGCCAACGCCGGGGTTAATCCGTGGACCACCGCGCGATCTAGATCCGGTCGGATCTACATGATTTGATGGGTATTATTCCACGAAGGGAATAATAACCGGGAGGGATTAGTTCACTAAGGAAATAATCGCTCGGATCTCGGGATCTAAGACCAAGCTTAGATCCGGAGTGTGATCTCGTGTAGATCTCAGATCTGTTCTTCCCCTCTCTCGAACTCCTGCCTTTTGTGACGTGGATGCTCGCCGAGGATCAGATCTGGATGTCCAAGTCTTCAAGTCTTCAAAGCTCTAAGCTCGATCTTCAATCCGGCAGAGTTTCGGCTCTCAAAAGTCCAACCTTTTAAAATGAACAACCCTTGGCCTATTTATAGGCTCTCTTTACTGTGCCCGCGCACGGAATAGTGTCGGCCACCTATAGGTGGCCGGCACTGGGCCGAGCCACCCATAGGTGGCTCGGCTCTTGGCCGAGCCCACCTCAGGGTGGCTCGGCTTTGGCCGAGCCACCTTGAGGCGGCTCGGTTTTGGCCGAGCCCCTCTGGGTTTGCCGTTTTTCCGTCGTTTTGCGCTGTATCCGTTTCTCGGTTCTGTCCGTGATTCGGTTGACTTAGATTCTGATTTTGTTGATCTGATTTGGCAGTAAATCCGCTTCTGATTTGGCAGTAACTCCACTTCTGAGTTCGAGTCCGAACCCGATCTTGATTCGGTCGTGATTCATCCGAGTCCGCTCTTGTTTGGATGACTCGTTGACTCCCCGAACCGTTGGCTTGATTCCGCACGCGAATGGATGCATTCCGTTGCTCACGTGCGATTCGTTGACCTTGTCGCCTCGTCACTCGATGGTTTGTCGAATCATCGCGGCGAGCTATGCCAAGGGACTTATAAGCAATTTTACATGCCTACAGATACCCCCTCCAAAGTATTTCAGCCTCGTTCTTTTATAGAAGAGTCTGGAATACTTTGGACATGATTGTCCCAACCTTCAGTCGGTGTAACGGGACCTTGGAATGGCTTCTGTTCTTGATTCCTTCAATCCTTCAGGCTATTCGGTGCTTTGTCGAATATCTGAAAGGGTTTCGGTGCTGCATTTATTGTCTGACCGTTGTCGGAATTTTGAATTTGAAGTCGTTTCCTAATTTTCTGATCTTTAACTCGTGCTCGTTGGTTCAACATAGCATTGACCATCGATTGTTGGCGTTGCGACGCGTTGTCCGGCGTCGTGTTGTTGAGTTATCCTTAAGAATATTTATGAAAACATTCTCCAGGAACTTCTCAACGAAAATTAGGGAACAGTTTATACTCATATACCTTATTGGAGTACTTTCTGTGCCCAAATGAACTGAACCGGTCTGATAATGACCCAAAAAGGCAGTAATTAGGCTCAAAAAATCCTCCAACTCTTCCGAACGTATGGGAGAGGAGTGAATGAATGATGGACTGAACCGTCGATCGATTTGAAGTCGTTTCGACGATCGGTTCAGCTTCAATTTAGATTCCGGTTCAAAACTGGTCCGGTCCGGTTCAAGGCCGGTTTGGTTCAAGGCCGGTTCACCCTACAAAAGGGGTCTTTTTTCTTTTCTTTTCCCTCACCTAGGGCCGGCCACCTCTCTCTCCTCTTTTTTTGAATTTCTTTTCCCTCGAGCATCCGTTCTCCCTCAAAACTTGATATCCGTCTTAGATCTAGCATTCCTTTGGATCTTTGACTGAGAAATCCCTCGAAACTTCCATTTTTAGAATTTCTCTCAGGCCCCTCGAGCGCGTGGTTCGAGCACTTTTCAAGATCTAATTTTTATTGGATCTTCGAGCTTTCCCTCAGGTATATCTTCCATAATTTTAGCATTTTTTTATGCTTAATTTAATTTATGAACTTGTGGGATTGCATGCGAGGGTTAGGATTATAATTTGGTGCCTCGAGCTTATCTTTCAGGGGGGGAGAATTGCAATAAAAAGAGGATTTTTTCTAGATCTGACCTCTTGATTTATTTTGTAGGTCATTATGTCGCGAGTCTCGAGAGGTCGTTCCCCTGCTGCATCGGCTGACGGCGTGCTTCCTTCATATGCTGGTGAGCTATTTTTTTTTTGCATATTCGAAATTTTACAAATTAGCCCTCTTTACAAATTAGCCATCTTTTTCCTGAAAATTTGCAAATTGATCCTTTTAACCCCACGTTGTTCTCCTTGGTGAGGCAATCGGGAAGAGCCTTGATTCTCCTTGGTGAGGATCGACGCTTTAAAGATAGAAATTTTACAAATTAACCCTCTTTTTTCTGAAAATTTGCAAATTGGTC